GGAACGCTGGTGGCCTCCTGGGGGACACACAGGCTGGGAGAGGCCCCCGCTTTGGAAAGAGGGACCATTCGATCGGCCAACGGCTGCACGCTTCCACCGTGGCCGGTGAAAGGGCGACGTACGGATGGACACAAGCACCCAGCCCCTCCCTGCCGGGCAGACGTCGCTGCTTAAAAGACAGCGGACGTTCGCCCCCCGTCCTGCCAAGCGGCCCAGAGGCCCGAGGGGGGAATGTCAACCGGGGGCACCTCTCCTGAGAGGGAGGGGTCGTGTAGAAGGGCCCGGCCACACTCCTGCCGTCCGCCCTCGGCCGTCAGCACGGAAGGAAGGGCGCCTGGAGGGAGCCCTATCGGTCCTTCCCAGCACAAGGCTGCGGCCGATCTGGGGGGCGTCAGGAAGCCAGCGAGCGTTTGGTCAATGCTGGGGCAGCACTATGTCCGTGGGTGCAGAAGTGGGGCCTGTCCGTAGTCAGTGCTCAGCAGACATCCTGGACGAATGACACGCCCTGGGCAGTGTGGGTGTGGCACCCTCTGAGCACAGGGACTGGGAGAGACGGCCCTTTGAGAGGTGAAGCAGTGTCACTGAGGCGTCTGACCGCGTGGGGCCAATGGAGAGGACGCTTTGGGGGGGGGGGGCGTGCCCAGTCTGCTCTGCTGTGGTTTGTTTTTGATGACCCAAACCCGACCGCTCCCGGCCAAGGCCCCCGAGAGCCAAAGGGGCGGGGGTCCGAGTGGAGGCGTCTCCTGGGGTGGGGGCAGTGCTACTGACTCGACTTGCTGACCTGAACGGCCGCATCATACCTTCAAAGGCAGGCGGCAGTGGCCCCGGGACCCAGCCGAGCGAGACAGGAGCAAGGGAGGAGAAGACTCGGGCCTCGGGAGGAGCGGGGACAGCTTCCCACCGTTCACTGCACGCGGCCCTGCGTGCCCCTGCCTCCTGTGCAGATAGGCGGCTGGGCTCTACTCTTTCCCCTGCTACGTGTGGCTGGGGTGGGGGTGCCCCTCCACGCAGGGGACCCCGTGGCCACAAGCTCTCAGTGCAGGTGCGGGGGGGGCCACTCGTGGTGGGTCAGCCAGAGCCCAGGGAGTGACGTACACATGACAGTTCCTACCCCACTCCCAGCATGAGTCCTGCCGGGCCGTGTGGAAGGACAGCCCCATGGGGACAGTGGCCCCTCGGCCCCGCCCACCGTCCCCACCCCACCTGCACCTCCGTGGCTACCCGGTCCCGGGGCCGTGACGCCGTCCACGGTGGCATTTCTGTCCTGGTCTGAGAAACCTTGCCTCCAGGGCCAGAACCCCCCACCTGCCAGGAGGCCTTGTCGGAGCCGATTCCCGGGGAGCCGATTCCCGGCGGAGGGCTCCCGCCTGGGCTCTCGCGACACCTTGTTCGGACCCTTGGGCTCTGGCGTTACCCGCCTCACGCGGGCCCCCCACCCGCCACCACGCCCAAACGCCGGAAGCCCTTCCCAGCAGAAGCAACTCTTCACCAGCACCACCAAGACAGTGCTACTGAACGTGCCGCGTGCAAGCCCTTCCCACACGCTTCCTCCTCGATCCTCTGTCACTTGAGGCCACGGCTGTGATCACCCTGGTTCACAGACAGGAAAACCGAGGCTTACCTAAGGAACCGGCCCCACAGGGCATCAGGCTCGACTCCACCTCCCAAGTTGTGAGCAGGGGGCAGAGCAGCCAGGAGGCCCGGTGGGGGGGGGGGGAGCAGTGCTGACCCCCGGGGGCTCTGCTGCAGAGGAGAGGGACCCGGCCTCTTGGGGTCACACAGCCTTTTGAGAAGCCGAGGAAAGGAACGGCCTCCGGCATGCACACCGGGGTCTGGAGACGGCTGAGGCCCATCCGTGGACCCTCAGAGACCTCGCTGATCTGAGGGCCCAGCCCCCTTGGATAGAAGGAGGGGATGAGATGGGGGAGCAAGGTCTGGCCGCGCTGGAGTGCAAGGTGGGAAGAGGAGGGCGGGCTGATCCTGAGGACCCCCTGCCCCCCCATCTCCTTCCCAGCTTCCGAGTAAAACTTCCCGGTGACGTTCTCTAGCGCGCTGTCCCAGAGGGGGACACAGACTGGAAACTACTTTTGGGGTGGGGGAAAGAGAAGCCCGCAGCTTCCCTGAGGGAGAGCCTGCCGACCCTGGCCCCCCCCCCCCCGCGAGACCCCTGTTTCTTCCCAGCCCTCCTCCCGCGCGAAGCAGCCGCTCACCTGGATGACGACCTTGATCGTGGCGGTGCCCACTATGGGGGTGCACACCAGGCCGCCGGGGTGATGGCCGTCGGCGCTGCGGTTCTGCTGGCCCATGGTGAAGGGCATGGGCAGGGCCAGCAGGCCCGAGGCCAGCCAGATGGCACTGATGAACTTCTTGGTGCGGCTGCGAGACATGAGGGTCTTGGCCTTGAAGGGGTGGCAGATGGCCAGGTAGCGCTCCACGCTGAGGCTGGCCACGTTGAGGGCGGTGGCGTAGGTGCAGGCGTCGCGCAGGAAGTAGTAGCCCCGGCAGCCGGCGTCGCCGAAGGCCCAGGGGTGGTGCACCCAGATGAAGTTGTACAGCTCCACGGGCATGGCCAGCATCAGAATGAGCAGGTCGGAGAGCGCCAGGCTGCCCAGGTGGTAATGCACCGTGCTCTGCAGGCTCTGGAGCGACTTCTTGCGCGCCAGCGTGAACGCCGTCACCGAGTTGCCCACGGTGCCCACCGCGAAGAGCGCCAGGTACACGGCGGTCACCAGCACCTTGGAGTAGATGTCCGTGTTCACATCCAGGTCGCTGCTGGGCGTCGCTCGGAGGCGCTCGGACTCATTGACTGAGCCGTTACCGAAGCCGGGGACCAGGAACGCCGCCTCCAGCCCCGAGGGTGGCAGCGGGAAGGGCTTGGCGCCCGGCGCGCCCCGCGGACCCGGCGCCGAGCCGTTGAGGCGCATGGTGGGCGCGGCGCCGGCGGGGACCGAGCGGAGGAAGCCGGCGGGGTGGGCGCGAGACCGAGAGCGGGCGCGCCGTCCAGCCGGAAGCGCCACCCGGAGCGCCCGAGGGGCGCCGGCCGCAGGGGGCGGGGGGCCGGGCCGCCCTCCCGCTCCCCGC